CCGAACGTGAAATCAAATGTTCATCGAACTCGCCTCTCAATAAGTCCATTGTTAGGTGTGCTGTGTGACATGTGGCACTGTCTTGTTGCAGCCACAGGTCATGCAAGTCCATCTCATACATGTAGGGCAAAAAACAAGTTTAATATCATCTCACGGTAGCGCCCACCATTCACAGTTACGTTACGATTCGCATCATCTTTGAAGAAGTACGGTCCAATGATGCCATCAGCCCATAAACCGCACCAAACTGTGACTTTTTCTGGATGCATTGGTAGCTCCTTCCATGCTGTTGGCAGATCTTCACTCCAAAATCAACAACCTTGCCTTTTTACGCATCCATTAAACCAAAAATGAGCGTCGTCGCTGAACACAATTTTCTTTATTTTCTTGAACTTTCTTAAAAGAGCACGCATTTTGTTAATAAAATTCAATAATTTACAAACGTTGTTCGTTTGTAAGACGATTCATGGTTAAATTCAAGGCCAAGCTGAAGCTGCTTGACAATAATACAAAACACGAAGGGTGCGTCAGCTGTTTGAACCAGTGTTGCCACAAAGATAATAACTAAAAAATCACCCTTTACTTATGCATAGAGATAAGTGTGAAATATCAGTGGACTGCGGCCTTCCCGTCATGATTGCCATTGAAAGTCATTATCATCACATTTAAATGAGTCGTATAAATGGTTGGAAATTGTTTTATTTTATTTTTATTTTTTTCTCCACTCTTTCCCACCTTCTACCAGTTCATATTTTCTCAATTCTACACTGTTCCCACTCATTTATAGAGAAATTTTGCGCAAGCTGCGCCTTTGTTTCTCCAAATTACTATAAATATTTGTTGTTATCTTTTTTCTTTTGAACTCCAATTGCAATGTGCGCAAGCAACTGAGGTGGGGGTGGGAAGTAACCACCAGTTTGTGGCGTGTGTGGGTGACGTATGTAACTTAATTTATTCAGTAAACTAACAGTGAATATATTCGTAATTCAAATATACATACCTGTCAAGAAAATCTCTCCAACAATAATTTAATGGATTCGTAATTGTTATTAAATGCACACTTGGGGCATATCAACGCTCACGCATTCTAGCTCACTCACGGGTTTGGCTATATTTTGTTTATTTCATTTATGTTTTATTATTAAAGAAAGGAAGAGGCGAAACAAGCATACACAGTTCAAAAATATTCGTTTTAAAAGTATTGGGGTACAAATTAATTCGGTCCGTTCTCAAAAGATGTCTCCAACTGCAAGTTAGAAGCGATCTTGGAAACGGTTACTTATTTGGTTGGAAAGGTTTCACAATCGTCAATCATATTTGGTCTGCATCAGCGTCTGTTTCTGACATAGTTTTTTTGTCACTTCGAAAATGTTCGACTAGATGCAGATCTGTGTCAAACAAAAACTGAACTCGCAAAATCGCTGGCGGTGATCAGTTCACTTAAAGCAATTTGGATTTATTCAAAAGCATGGAAATTGGTTGTCCTACGAGTTGAAGCCGAAAGATGTTGAAAGGCGATTTTTCACCTCGAAACTGCTTCTTGAAAGGCATCAAAGGAATGTACCTTTGCACCGGATCGTACCTGGAGATGAAAAGTGGAATGCTACGATAAGCCCAAAAAGAAAAAAAATACTATGCCAAGCTTGGTGAACCTGTTCCCGGTGCTAAGAAAAAAATACATTAATGAATCAAATGTCATGTCTCGCATATGGTGGAACCTAACGGTTGTGGTGTTATAACCAGGCGAAATCATTGAAACGAAACATTATCAACTACCAGTAAAGCGTTTGAGGCACGCATATTGAAAAAACGGCCAGAAACATGCGAAAGGTATGAAGTATGACGTCACAGCGCTCGACCCACGTCACTGTAACGGCCCTAAACCGCCTGGAAGCGCTGAAAACCTTGCTCCTTTCAACTACTGGTTTCTTTGATGGGTGAAAAACGTTTTCTAAGGTTAATGATTCGTGCCTTTTAAAGAAATCGAAGAATGGCTCAATGATTGGAACGAGTACAGAGAAGATTCATTTTTTCGAAATGTTGTTCGAAAATTAACAATGAGATGGGAAAAATTCGCTTCCGAAAACCGATATACTCGTTTACACAAAAAATGTACACCCTATTTTATTCTTTCGGAATATTTAAGTTTAAGTTTAGTCCAAAAAATGTGGTTTTTAAAAAATATTTTTTAATGAAATTTTTCAAATGCATAATCTTTCCAGTGATACTAAATGTTCAGCTGTGGATTATATTAGATTCGATTGTGTAGAGGGTATGCACTGCGACCTTGGGCCTATCATGTCCTTAGGGCTCATTACAATTCTTCGTATAGTCTCCGTGCCTGTAGGAATTCCATAAGACAGAGAGGTCAATGGATATTGGATATTATACTCATGCTGTAACGCTCCAATGTATTTATGCCTTCAACTTGTGACTACAACGCACCGGTATTTCCGGCACCCGACTACAAAAGTGGCATGTGCATTCGTAACTGATACCATACATGTGCTTATGATAGAGTAGAATCAGTTAGGTAAATCTTTTTGTAAAGTAGCCGACTATAAGTTCCTTGGCCAGTTTCTTATGTACTTTTCTCTTATTCTTAATCCTACTTCAATTGTATGTTGGCTAATGGGAAAGTAGAATTCAAGCCAAGATTTGTTGCTCGCGCTTCTTTTGCTAGTTCGTTTGTTATTGCATTTTCTTTGCATGACTCTGTGTCCAGAAAGCAGTAATACGTGAACTTTATTAGATTTGCCCAGCTCATTTAGGTGTCGGACACGTTCCCATACCAAATGCGATTTGATTTCGAATTGGTATAGAGACCTTAGTTCTAGGGTATCTTCCAATTGAGCATAGTATTTCTTTTCAAAATTGATACATTTGGCCAAATAGTCTCTATTCTACAATGGCAGTGGAATATTTTCTCCGATTTTTTTACTTGTTCTACTTGAGATTAATCTTTCATTTTCCTATTCCTATGCCTTACCTTATCATAGTCAACAGAGATTTCTTCACTGTATGTTCTACGACACTGTATAATGTTGTGCGTTCAAGTAGTGCTTCTAGTGGTGTTGTTGGAAATATTCTCACGCATCCTATTATACAAGCTCTTTCTCTCATTCCACAAAAAAATTAAATTTGTCGTCATGTTTACTCCGTGATGGTCGTTAGATTAAGATAGATTGGTGGGATGGTATTCCAAAATCATTCCTTCTTGATAGTTCGTTTGAAAGTTCTTGAGCCTGGGCGTAAATTCTACTACTCGACTAAGCTCATTTACCACATCATCAGCCTCGGTCTCACAAAACTATAAAGCAGTTTGAAGATAATCGGCAATCCTAATAGATCTCAGATGACGCTATGGGAATCCACGCCGTGCAAGAAGAATTTCATATTTCAATGGGTTCTAGTATAAGTTTTTATGAGCTCAAACCAACTAAGAACATTCAAGTTATATTAGAACTATTATTGCTATACTGATGATAGCGGGAAGCAGCTCCACCGCTTCCTTAATTGCAAACAACTCACTCATTGGCTCTACCATTTAGTTTCGATCCACAGAGCGTCGAAAAAATTTAAAGCTTCTCTCCTCCTGGGCCAAATCGAGACTTTGCCGAGAGGTTAAATTTTATGTATTAGGCTGGGAATTACTTGCTGGGAGAGCGGCGTTTCGCAATCATCTCAGTATATTTCCATGCCCCAGACTTAGATTTAAGATTCCGTCATCATAATATAACAAACTAGAGGAAAGTTAAATAAAATGCAACTGACTTATCAAGCTACCCTCATATTCATAGAGAAAAAAATCTCTTCTATTTATATCTCCAATTATGCAGTTCGTGTGTTCGCACCTTGGCGTATGTGAACAATTCAGCCAACAACAAAACGCACTATCTAAATACATACTTGAGAGACCATCAAACAACTGTAATCTTATCAAAAAGGTAGGCAAGCAGCAAAATACTCTTATGACTCACAGCCAACACGCTAACGAAGAAATGTAGAAAAAATGTTACGGCAAAGGCAAAACAAAAAGCTTGCGAAATTGCTATAATAGTAGAACAATTAAGCATTAAAAAATAATGTACAAAAAAAAAACGAGAAGAAGAAGAAGTGATATATGTAAATATATATATGACTGAACCGGCTAAAACGGTGAGTGAGTGAGCGCGGTTTATGAGAGAATGGCAATAAACGATTGTGCAAAAATTGAAAACAAAACCAAACCGAAAGCAAACAGAACTTGCTTAGATTGCCACACAATCGACTACGGACTAACTCGGCGATCAAGCCACAAACCAAGCCAAGCAGTCAATCAACTAGTCAGCCAACAAGCTGAGCTAACCAGCCATTGAACCAAACAGCTCAACACAGTTAGCAACGGAGTCAATGAAACGCTGAGCGCAATGCGCTCTCAATTCGCGCCGCAGCGGTTGGTTGGGCCGCCGCGGAGTTCGGGTTAACGACGCTCCACAGCTGGGGAGCGTAGTTAGTTGACTTTTGCTAGCGTTGCGGAACACTTTTACCTCGAAAAGAATTGTGTTAGTGGTTTGTTGTTGAGACATAGGTACGCGTTGCCGCATATCGGCATTTCATTGTTTCTTTGCTTTTACGTTTTTTGTTTTTTTTTTATTTATTTATTTAACGCTCGCGTTCCGCACCTCCGCTTTTGTGTCTAGAAATTATAAGCGTATACGATAAGCTTATTGCTGTTTTTTTATGTGATAAAATATAAAATTTTATTTGCTGGAAATATTTTCGCACTTTTTCTTTAAATTAAATGTTAAAAAAAAATATTTAGAATTAATTAAAAAAAAATTAACATTTATTTAAAAAAAAATTATTTATAATTAAATAGTGTAATTTTATGTTTAAAAAAAATATTTACGAATAATTAAAAATATTAACTTTTTATTCGAAAGATTTTAATAATTTTTTGTATGACTTCTTAATAAATAATTTTTTTTAAATAAAATATTTCTGTTATTGTTTTTTAGTGCGCAAAATGGACACACAACTGGTGTGGGCACGCGATCCCGTCGAAGGTTATATACAGTGTTGCATATCGGAGATCGGTGCTAAAGAGTTCGAGGTGACGCCGATCGATCGGAAATATCCAAAACGTTCCTGTCATGTCGATGATATATTCTCATCCTGTGATGGGCCACAAGACCATGATGATAATTGTAAGTACATACAAGCAGAAATACAGTATATATCCCATTGTTTTACTAATTATAAATACCTACATGTGTACATATGTATGTACTCGTATGTATGTACTGCCTCTAATTAGTTTTTGTGCCTACAAGTGTTGTCAGAAATATACTCATATGTAGACACACCTGCCTTATCAGCGCGTCGGCATCACGTGCTTACTCAGCGTAAGCGGATTTTATAGTTTAACGGTTAAATTATTTAATTTTTTTTTTTTACTTTTTGATTTTTTTTGTTCGAAATTTTTGGAAATTTTGCGTATGCCAAAGAGATGTAAAAGCGACATAGAAATGTAACAAATATGGAAGCCTCTGTTATTTCGTGGGTTGCCATTTATAGTTCGGGTTTTGGCAACCCTAGTGTGTTGCAAACTGCCAACTGACAACTTTATCGTGAAGTTTAACCTTTTTTAGATGATACATACTCAGAACGTTTTGACATATGAGCGGTATTTCTGTTGTTTAGTGTAATTAAAAATATTCAACTTGGCAAAAAAGTGAAATTAAATCGAGCAAATTTACGTGCGATTATTTTTTTTCGATGTAGATTAACTCAGCAATAGTGCATCGATGAACTTAATTCAATTTGTGGCATCGAAGCTTCAATAAGGGCCGGTATTTAACAATGGCATGGTGAAATCAATCGAGATCATAGATCACTTCAAGACGAATTCCAAGAAGGTCATCCGAAATCAAAACAATTCATGCTGTGCGCGAACTGTTGTTGCAAAATCGTTATGTGATCTATCGTGAGATTGAGGCAACCATAGGCATTAGTGTGGCCACCTTATATTGACTATATCATGAGCATTTGGCTGTAAACAAATTTTTTCACGCTGGATCCCATACAATTTGTCAATCCCTCAAAAGAGAAAGCTCGTGTCGATTGGTCGAATAAAGCTTCGAAACACTTCTATCACATTGTGACAGTTGATAAATCTTGAAGTTGAGTGTATGAGCCCGAAAGTAGAAGAAGTCGACTATATGGATATTAGAGATGGGCCGAAGCCAGCAAAAGTTCTTGGCCTGTACGCGCACGCAGCACTTCCATGCAAATAGTTGTCTCTTTTCTTTTGTAAAAACTGGACATATCGTAACCGTATCTCTAGAACAACGTAGAATAGTGAATTTTGAGTGGTACTCAACCATCAGGAAAATCCACCGGCGAAGATTGATCACTTTTCAATACGACCATGCGAGCTCTCGCATATCCACTGAAACAGCTGCATTTCTGGGCACTCAAAACATAGATTTGATGACTAATCCACCATATAGTCCTGACTTGGCACTGTATGAATAAAGTGCTGGGTGAACGTTTATCGATCTGAAGAGACACGTTTAAAACTCATTTTTTTGGAAACACCTCAATCAGAGTGGAAAAGGTCATTCGAAAATTGGTTCCAATCCACGCCAAAGTGTATAGAGTTTAATGGGGTTATGTCGAAGCACAATAAAACGAATGCTGATGATTAAAATATTGGTTTTGTTCTATAATCCCGAAATATAATAAGCAACCCTCATACTTATTTTTTTACAATAATTATTATTATTTTTTTAAGTAATGACAAAGAGATTTGAAAATAAGCCTCCATGGTGCATTTTCACTTAAAGTGTCTGTTTTTACGTAAATAATTCTCATATACCATAAAAAATACACTTTGTTCAATTCGCTTTTATTTCTTCCTTTTGGCATTCTCAACAGATCAACCAACATTATGTTGTTGCTCAAGGTTGACTACAATTTAAAATTCGAAAAATCTCAGTTTAAACACGAATTTAAGACCGCAAGCGTCGTAAAGTTTCTGCAATTAATGACCATAAGTCAGCACGGGTTTTCATAAAGCTACGCTGATTCATGTCTCTAGTCAAAATTAATAGCGAAAAATACTCGTAATTTCTTCTAATTTGTTGATTTTTTTTTATCAGAAAGATTTAAGTATGTCGCATTGTGATTTTCATTGATAAAACTAAACAAAGTGTGTTCCTTGTATCATTTGTTGTAGTAAATAAAAAGAAGAATTGGGAGATCCACCCAAAAAGACAACCTCAGAAATATCGCAAACAATCTTTAAATAAATCTTTTAGAATAGATTTCAAATTGACAAGATTTATATATATATACATTTTTTTTTTTTTTGAATGTAACATTGGGCTAAAAAAAAAATCCGAGCTTAACGAAGAAATCTTAATTTCCAGCTTGAACAACATAATCATTCCTACTTCACTATAAAATTTCAGTATTAGCTTTGTGGATCCTTAGTGCCGAATCTGGCGAAATGGATTGACACGGGAGCAATTCATAATTCAATTCATGTGGTCTTGTTATTAGTAGTGTTAGAGAAACACTTGGAGGAGTTGACTTGAGCCCTACTACCGTGGAGCGAACGCAATTAGGAAATATAACTTAATTATATTTATTTTTCTATTATTTTTGGATTTCGGTCGGACAAGGACTCCCAAACTACCCGGCTATTGCAGCCAATAGTCTTTGAAAACCTTTACTACATATATCCAAAAATAGCTTTGAACGACGTTCCACTTTTTAGGTAGAAGATCATTTCATTGCACGATACTTACAGTTACAATCTGCGAAATCCACAGCTGCTTTTCTCATCAGCTGGAAAAAGGACTAACGGTCGATCGCATAGAAATTCTGACAATAAATAAACCAAAATTACTGGAACAGCATGCACTCCTTTATCTCGCATACGACGTTCAATTGCCACTAAAAAATTACTGAACCGCAATAAAATCCTCAAATCATTAATCGGCAACAACTGGGAGAAATACAAAGAAATGTTGGTGGGATCATACATACGTACAAAGCGTTTGTCCGGCCGTTCGTAAATTACGCAGCTCCGATTTGTATGCGGGGGACTAGCGAGACGCAGATGAAGAAACTACAACAGCGCTCTCAGAACGGTGACAGGAAACCTTCAGATATCGCCGAGACATTATTAACACAGCGAAACGTTTACGCTATGAGTTAAGGAGCAAAATGTTATGCTGTGCCAACATTGTATGCTAGGTTGCTATCGTCGGGAGCACCCCAACAGACATTTATTTGATGCTCAACCTCAAAACAGGCACATCTAGAAGATTGTACCGCTGTACAGTACGAAGTACCGATAGGCTTTAAAAGCTATACACCGAGAGTCTGTCAATACCTCTATGAACTTTCTTTCAGTGAATGGCGTTTGCGGTATCTCAGCACTACCTATTGCAGACAAAGAGATCTAGCTGCCTCGAGAGACCCGAGGAATTCTTGGATACGTTGGATATTGTTGTCGACTTAATTCCCATATATCCAGATTTGACCCCATGTGATGAGACCATGCACGCCACTAAGAACCTCTTTCAATGCCCTCTAACACCTACACAACTAACCTCACATTCCCTCAGTTCGCTTCCTGGATCTGCCATTAGATGAACTCGCCTGCTTCCAAGGGGAGTTAGAGATCCGCTACAACACAGCAACACCTCAAACCTCATACTTGTTGTAAAGGATGAGTGAAACTTCTCAAACCTAAGGTGGGGCATGTGGTACGACAGCATGTAAATAATTATAAATGAATATGAATACAAATATTCCATACATGTATGTAACTATACAGACTTGGTCAAAAGTATTAGACACCCCACTAATTACTGAATTTTTTTGTTTTAACAAGCGAAGTATTGAAGTTTTATTAGTAAAACATTAATATTTAGTAGGTCCACTCTTCGGTTTAATAACGGCTGCAATTCTTTTAGGCAAGCTGCGTACAAGCTTTGCACATTCATCCGAACTTGTAGCGTACCACTCGTTAATTAAGGCATTCTTTAAGGCAGTTTTTGATGTTCCTTTATCTTGCGTTTTAAAATAGCCCACATGTGCCCGATGGCACTAAGACCTGGAGACTGTGCAGGCCAATCTAACAAAACAATGTTGTTATCTCTAAACTAACGCTCGTAGACGCTGATTTATGACAAGAAGGAGCAGCTTCTCATACATTAATGTACTTTTGACTGTCCATGCGACCCTCGCAAACGAACATTTCGCCATCAGCAGTCATGCAGCCCCAGATCATAATGCTGCCTCCTCCATGTTTAACAGTGGGTACCACGCAATCTGAATGATATTCTTCCCCAACCCGTCGCCTCACGAACGGTGTTCCAAATATCTGTAGAAAAGAAAAAAAATGTTTTCATAAGATTTATATTATGTCTTCAAAATTGCTCTAGGGTAAGAAGCTATGACTGTTAATACTTTAAGACGATCTTAACTAAGCTTACCTCGAAGTTTGACCACAGAACATTCGACCAATCTTCTTCCGTGAAATGTTGGCATCGGCGAGCCCATTCCAAATGATTTTTTCTATTCTTTTCTGAGAGACACGGCATCTTTCGGGCTTTACATCCTATTAAATCTGCTTCCAGAAGTCTTCCTCTAGCTATTCGAGTACTAACTGGTTTACTAAATTCATCCGAAAGGGCAGCTTCAAGCCAGAAGAAGATTTTTTGCGATCCCTGAGAGAGTAGCGTATAAGTATTCAGTCTTCTCGTTTACTCGCACTTTTGCACTTTTTGATTTATTATTGTCGGATTTGGTCTCCACAAATCGCCTGATAGCACATTGGACCGCGCACCGCGAACATCCCACCGAATTGGCATTCTCAACCTGAGACTTACCTTGTTTACTTAGAACTTAAATTCTAACTCTATCATCGTAACTAATTTCACTTTTATTAGGCATTTTGGTAAACATGAAGTGTTTTTTTTATACGATTGGTAGCTTTTCACTAAATGTATTTTACATTTTCACTTTCATTTTCAAATTTTAAATGCGAAAATATTTTATGAGTTTCTTAAAAAGACAATTCTTAGGTTCAGCTTACCCAGAGTGCTATCATGACTTTTAATATTACATAGTTTATTCGTTTAATCAACGGTTTAACACCCATGTAAGACATTTACAAAAAGAAGTGGTAACTTTGATAGCCACATTTCAGAATACTTGTATTTTAGTCGGCTGCCTCATACTTTTGGCCAAGGTTGTATGTTTCAAATCTATGAATGTCGCTGGGGTTCACTCCGAAACTCTCATTACTATACCCCGAACGAATGACTTTTTTCTGCTAAGTGGTGGGTGGCGTTAAATTTGAGATCTTTGAAAGTCCGTTAATATTCGACAACTCGATATATAGATCTATTGAAGAGAGCAAACGATTTACGCTCGGAATTCTAGAAGTTCTCTGAAGTCTCTTTCATGTGGATTTTCCAATTTCAAACGAACACAAAAGTAGTATCTCTTGAGCAACCTTGGAAGTGGGACAAATGCCCTGCACAGTTTTGATGCATAAAATATGTTGTTTTTTTTTTTTAGAATAACTGTGAAATATTTAACCTCTGCCTACTCTTTTCCAGGTGAACTTATGCTGCTGAATGAAGCGACTTTCTTGGATAACTTAAAAACACGTTACTATAAAGACAAAATTTATGTAAGTTCAAATTTTATTTAAAAAAAAGGTTCAGAAGCGATTAAATTTGTTTTTAAATTTTCTGATTCTTCAAATTTTGTTTTTTTTTTGTACCGTATTATTATACAATAATTTGCTTATATTATATACTAACTGCTATATATACTAACCGCTCTTAATTTACTAACAGACTTATGTGGCCAACATACTCATCGCTGTGAATCCATACCGTGAAATCACTGATCTCTACTCATCAACAACAATTAGAAAATATACTGGACGTTCCTTGGGCGAACTGCCGCCACATGTATTTGCTATAGGTAAGCCACTGCCACATACACATTTGTACACAAATACGCACAGTTTAAACAAAAATTAACTTAAAATTCTTAATTTTTTTTATCATTCCAGCTGATAAGGCTATACGCGATATGCGCGTACTCAAATCGTCACAATCAATTATCGTATCTGGCGAATCCGGTGCTGGCAAAACAGAATCGACAAAATATCTATTAAAGTATTTATGCCATTCCAGCGATAGTGCCGGTCCCATTGAGCAAAAAATCTTAGATGGTAAGTGTATGGGTAGGGGGAAATGTGCTGTAGTAAATTACTATAAAAACGCAAAACAGCAATAACACAAAAAAAAATAATAATAATAACAACAACAACATTAGCAAATATCTCATATTACAATGTTTATTGTTCTACATTATTTATTACATAATATCTACACAGTATGTATAGTATGTATAGTTTATATTTTTGAATTTTATTGCAGCCAATCCCGTACTCGAAGCATTTGGTAATGCAAAAACAACGCGCAACAACAATTCATCGCGTTTCGGTAAATTCATTGAAGTGCATTATGACGCCAAATGTCAAGTAGTCGGCGGTTATATATCCCATTATCTATTGGAGAAGAGTCGTATATGCACGCAAAGTTCGGAGGAGCGCAACTATCATGTATTTTATATGCTGCTTGCAGGTGCGCCACAACAGCTGCGTGATAAGCTCAATTTGGGCAAACCAGATGATTATCGGGTGAGTATGGGGGCGATGAGAAAGGCATATGTATGTATGTTATTTAGTGATTTTATCATTATTTATTATGATATAACTTGCATATGTATGTAGACTAAATAGTGCCGCATGAGTTCGTGTGAAAATTCCGTATGCTTTCCGTGGTAAATCAAATTTTGATTAACTCCAATTTTTATTACTCATACACGCCTGGAGTGGTGAATAAATAGCATTTGCCATTTACTAAGCTAATGCAAGTTTTCTGTAGTATGACATGCAAATTATAAATATTTGATTCATAAAGCCCAAAATTTTCGAGGGCGTCTCAATATGATCCACCAAAAAAAAGTAAATCCACATTTTTTCCTAATGCGATGATGCAAAACCAAAATAGTTGAATAAAGTTCCGTCTGAGATGTAACTTTTGCACTTTTCGGAAAGTTAATCTTTTTTAAAATGCTTTCTAAAAGTTGTACAATTTTTTTTAAGAAAAAAAATTAATAATGGAAAACTATATCAGCCAAAAGGCCCCACTGCCACGCTTACATGACCGTGTCATTTTTATGAAAATTTTCAGCAACAAATCGCAAAGTGGCTGCTGCATGCCTGGCTCCAAAGGAAGTAGTCGCAAGGTTTGAAATCTCAAGATCTCTTTAGCCAATTACGATCACCTCTTCGAGAGGTAACACCGTCCGTAACTTTTCCCTTAAAATGTCGATGCTTGTATGGTATGTAGCGCAAACTTATTAAAAGTAAACGTTGTTCAGATCAATACCATCCAAATCCGGCCATAAAAAATCATTAATCGCCTCACGATAGCGTTATCCATTCAATGTAACTGTTGCTCCAGGCTACCCGCCGGATCATTAACCGCACCAAACAGTTGCACGTTGAGGATGGAGAGGCTTTTCCGAGCCCCAGATGCGACAGTTTTGCTTATTATTGTGGTCATCGAAGTGGAAAAGGACCTCATCAGTCAAAATGATTTTTCGATGAAATTGAGAATCATTTTCATGCATTTCAAGGAGTTTGAGTTCTTGTGTTAACTGAAGTTTATAAAGTTTTAAGATTTTATGAAAATACGTGTAATGATGTTTGTGGAATTCCAAGTTCCAAAGAACGATGAAGAATGGACAAACCAGCTGTACCGTGCGCGTGTTTTATTCTTCACATCACTTAAATGTCCCAACAGTTACAGTTTTCTACTAATTTCTGTACTGAGGTCCGAAAAGGTGCGTCACGACGACCGAAAAAATTTTATTGGCGTATTGAATATATATGAAAGATACCGCTCTCTCTTGAACGGAGAAATATTTTATGAAAACAAATATCCAAATATCCTATTTGGTAAGGACGACCCATTTCCTGTCTATATTTTCTATTTCTTTCATGTACCTTCGCTTCATCTGTTCCTTTTGAGGAATTTCCCTTATATTTTGAAGTATACTATGTCATTGAAATGGATTATTCGCTTTGAAAAAAATACATTCCTCCAAAGCTTTCTTGTTGTAATCAAAATTTATAAAATTTACTTTCCTATAATTTTGGATGTTGGTAGAACAAAGATTGAACCTTCGCTCTCCGAATGTTAGTACGCAATGCTAGCCACCTAACTTGCCTTGCTGAGGGCAAATTGTTGAGCCCCTAAACCCACAGTGGAGGAGAGTGTCTGTCTTATACTATCATTGCATTATGCATAAGGTTGTCGCTTAATTATGTCTATAAACTCTATTGAGATCTACATTCATTACCTACTGATTGTGTACATTTACCAAAACATTTCTCTTCCCTTCCTTCCACAGTATCTTTCCGGCTGCACACAGTATTTCGCCAATGCAAAGACGGAGCAGCTAATTCCTGCTGCGCAAAAATCTAGCAATCATATGAAAAAGGGTCCGCTCAAAGATCCCATCATCGATGATTACAATCATTTTCAAAATCTCGATCGTGCTTTGGGTCGTTTGGGTTTGAGTGAAGTGAATAAACTGGAAATTTATTCCTTGGTAGCGGCAGTACTACATTTGGGTAATATTGCTTTCGAAGAGATACCCGATGATGCACGAGGTGGTTGTCAAGTTTCGGAAACTTCAGAGAAATCACTTACCATTACATCAAAGCTCTTGGGTGTAGATCCATCGGAACTTAGACAGGCGCTCGTATCGCGTGTAATGCAAAGCAAAGGTGGCGGTTTCAAGGGCACAGTAATTATGTGAGTAGCAATAATTCAATCATTTGCAGAATAACGAAAGTTTCTTATTTAAATCTTTTACACTTCTTTCAGGGTACCTTTGAAAATATACGAAGCCAGCAATGCGCGTGATGCGCTCGCCAAGGCCATTTACAGTCGTCTCTTTGATCGCATTGTCGCTTTAATTAATCAAAGTATACCCTTCCAAGCCTCCAATTTTTATATTGGTGTATTGGATATTGCCGGTTTTGAGTATTTCACCGTAAATTCATTCGAACAATTTTGCATTAATTATTGCAATGAAAAATTGCAAAAATTCTTCAACGACAACATTCTGAAGAACGAGCAGGAGTTGTATAAGAGTGAAGGTTTAAATGTGCCGGAAATTACATTCACCGATAATCAGGATATCATCGATTTAATTGAAGCGAAGGCAAATGGCATTTACACGCTGCTCGATGAGGAATCGAAGTTGCCTAAGCCATCGGCACAACACTTCGCCGCCGAGGTGCATAAGGCGTGGTCGAATCATTTCCGTTTGGGCTTGCCGCGCTCATCACGTTTGAAGGCACACCGCACGCTAAGGGATGAGGATGGTTTTTTGGTGCGCCACTTTGCCGGCGCTGTCTGTTATAATACGGTAGGTGGTTGAGTATGTGGTAAATACGCAAATATTTGCATAGTCATTTACATATTGTTTGCTTTATTGTTTTATAGGAACAATTTATTGAGAAAAACAACGATGCCTTGCATGCCTCTTTGGAGGGTTTGGTGCAGGAGTGTGAAAATCCGCTGCTCAAAACACTCTTCCCCTCCGGCAGTAACACGGCTCTGCGCGGTAAATTGAATTTCATATCGGTGGGCTCGAAATTCAAATCACAACTTGCCGAATTAATGGAGAAATTGGAAAAGAATGTAAGTGTTGTGTGATATTTTACATTATAGAGTTTTAATAGCGTAAATTTTTAAACTTCTAGGGCACCAATTTCATACGCTGCATTAAGCCGAACAGTAAAATGATCGATCGTGATTTCGAGGGCGGCCTCGCATTGGCACAGTTGAAATGTTCGGGCACCATCTCTGTGCTGGAGCTTATGGAGCACGGTTATCCGTCACGCGTACAATTCGCCGACCTATATAATATGTATAAATCAGTATTGCCGCCGGAGCTGGCCAAACTACCGCCGCGCACATTCTGTGAAGCCATGCTGCAATCATTGAACCTTAGCTCGAAGGATTTCAAATTTGGCGTTAAGAAGGTATTTTTCCGCCCTGGCAAATTTGTTGAATTCGATCGTATTATGAAATCAGATCCTGAAAATTTGTTAGCCATTGTGGCCAAGGTGAAGAAATGGCTGATACGTTCGCGTTGGATCAAATCGACGCTCGGTGCGGTGTGTGTGATCAAATGTGAGTGAAAAGTTTTTTGTTTTTTCTTTTTTGTAGTTTAAATATTATACACAAATTATATTTTATTATAAATAATTCATATATTTTCATCCTATTCATTTGTCTTGCTCTTTGCAGTACGAAATCGCATTAAATATCGCAATAATTGTGTTTTGCTCATACAACGTACGGTACGTGGCTATTTGGCGCGTAAACAGCATCGTCCACGTTACCAAGGCATTGCCAAAATCAATAAAATACGTTTTAGTGCGCAAAAAACGATCGAAATTGCAGGCGGTTTGAAAAGTGGGCGCGATGAGTTTATTAACGAAGTTCATGGTATACATCGTCAAGTGGATGAGGCCATAAATACTATTAAGGTGCAATAATAAATGATAAAAGGCATATAATGACAATTAAATTAAAAACTTCTTATAATCATTTATAGGCAAATGAGAGAATTACTTCAAGAGAAATCGATGGCCTTTACACTATCATTATGGCCAATATGAATAAGCTCACTGTGGATTTGAATACGAAATTGAAGGTTAGTTAAAATGTGCTGAACATTATCTATTTTTGCTTTTGCTGGCAATGTAAAGCTGGTTGGCGAAAATAATATTAAAACTAATAAGCAAATCACTAGAAAATTTAATTACCAAAATTGTCTCTACTCATTTCGTCTCTTTTACACTTTTCTATTTCTCTTTATTTATTTTATTTTCTTTTTATTTTATTTTATTTTAATTTTTTATTTTCTCCTACACACAGGAACAAAAACAAGCTGAGGAACAGGAACGTCTGCGCAAAATCCAGGAAGCGCTCGAGGCTGAACGACGCGCCAAAGAAGAAGAGGAGCGCAAGAAACTTGAGGATGAAGAAAATAAGCGACTGTAAGCGTACAAATTTGTTTCGAAATGAACTTGAAAACAAATATATATTTTTTTTTAATATTCACTTTTAACGTCAAATTCAATCATTTACAGTAAAGCCGAAATGGAATCACGTCGCAAGGCCGAAGAGGTGCAACGTCTCCGGCAAGAAGAGGAAGATCGCCGAGCAGCATTGGCATTGCAAGCACAATTGGAAAAGGAGGCGCAAGATGATGCCAAGTATAGACAACAATTGGAACAGGAGCGTCGTGATCATGAATTAGCGCTACGTTTGGCGAACGAAACCAATGGCATGGTGGAGGATAGTCCACCAGTTATACGCAAGTATGTTGTTGAGAATCTATCTATTTATTTAAATATGTAATATTTGTAAAAAAAAATTGTTAGTAATCTTTGGCAGAGTAACTGCAATTATATTATAGTTTTAAACAAGTATTTGTTATTGGTTGTTCCATATATTGTTTTTATATATTATATGTTATATACATAGATAAATGGAGAGGTGTATTTTTTGCACTCTACCCAATCCTTTTATGTATTTTACAACCCATTGCCGTTTAGTAATGCATTCCTTTTAATTTATTCCGATTATGGTTTTGTTGAGTTTATTAGTTAAAAAAAATTTGAATAGCTTTAAATATTTGTAAATATATATTTTATTTTGGTTTAACCAGTCATATATATTTTATATATATTTTAATTTTGTACAAATTTATATTCAAAACCACACTTGTGTATAAAAAACAGAAACAATTTATTTAGTACCCCATTTAAATACATAAGCGTACATAATGTAATGTATATTTCATTTCTTCCAATTTTTTGCATATTTCAAAATTTTTATTCTCTGCGTTCAGTGGTCAAACTGATGTGTCGCCCATGGCTCCGAACAAACTTATCAGGTATACACATAAAAGCACGCTTTCATTTTCTTTATGTACTAATATCAATTGTGGGCTTTTATTTATAATAACAACTAGAATTTGATTGATGTAAATATTAAATTTTTTGAATATTTTAGAAAGCATTTTAAATTTTAGAAACTATTGAATTGGATTTCAAAACTAATAATAAACTTTCATTTGTTTTGTTTTTGTATTTGGAAAATTTTTCAATTACTTTTCCGAAAAAGTTTTACACGAGGTGTAACAACGTTCGCATCTCGATATTTTAATAAGTGAGTTGGTAAAAAAAAAAAATATATCACAAATCGCATTGTTTTTATTTATTCAATGAGAAACATTTGAAAAAAAAATCATTGCATTTGACATTTTTATTTTGGCTAGCGAAGTTTCGAGTGTTACAAATCAACACATGCAATTGTCTAATATATTAAAGTAATCGTATTCAGTTGTTATATAAGCAGCCATTGTAAAAAATGCGCTTTGTATATAAGCTTTAATAATATTCAAAACATAAATTCGCTCCAACTGCGCAGAATTTTCTTCACCAAATTGTATTTTCCTACACATAAATATTTATAAACGCAAACTAAATAGCTGCGCACTTTCTGCAAACCACACCCTAATAATATACAAAAATATCAACAAGTACACATAATGTTTGCGATCCACAAATAATTTAATTAAAAATATATCACTAATACTAGTTTTAGAAATTATACACCATACACTTTCTGAACATTATTCAACTCATTCATTCACGTTTTGAGTCTCTTTCATCGACGCAACAATTTTTTAGCTTTTTTTTAATTATTTTATTCTTTTAATGCTTAGATCTGAAAATGTCCGCGCTCAGCAACAGGCGTTGGGCAAGCAAAAATATGATTTATCGAAATGGAAATACTCGGAATTACGTGATGCTATCAATACATCCTGTGATATTGAGTTGCTTGAGGTATGCCTTGATTTATGAAATAAATTAAAAAATAATAATAATAATAATTAAAAATGTATTTATTTGTATGTCGTTATTACAGGCTTGTCGTCAGGAGTTTCATCGCCGTTTGAAGGTATATCATGCCTGGAAGGCAAAGAATCGCAAACGTACCACCATGGAGGAGAATGAGCGGGCACCAAAGAGTGTAATGGAAGCAGGTAAAATTTATTTCTAATTATTTATACATCTTTGGCTTTTTTATTATAATAATTTGTTGCACGATTTCAAACTACATATATATGTAAATAATTATATGTGCAATGTTTCAAACTAAATATAAATCGTATAAAATTTTACAAAATTTTTTTAAGATTAGTAACATTTTTACAATCAATCACCTAAAGTAATTAGTTAATATAAATATTTAATTTTTGTTTCAATTTTGGCATCTAAAAATATGTTTAAATTTTTCTATATTTTTTTAAACCCCCCCCTTCTTTTATTATCAATTCGTTGCGAAAGCTTTTTGAATGCCCCCCCCCCCACCGTTTCTGATTTTTCTTATACATTTGCCAGAGCTTTTAGTGCTGCCGAAAAGATATAGACACGATTCACCGAAAGTTCCTTTAGACTTNCCCCCCCCCCCCCCCGATGCAGGTTTTAAAACAAAATTTTTAAAATGCACACAAAAATTAACAATAATAATAAGACATAAATAATTATCTTTCTAATAAAAGATTGTTATCACTATTAATTTTTCCATAAATATTTGAGTTAAACATACCACTTTTTTGTTTTCTATTGCATCTATGCAAATACTCAATAACAAATGTTTATCATGACGTTTTATTTTATAATCCCACACACAAGACTGATAAAACATGGCATTTGAGTTATCGCGAGACGTCTGCTTGTTAATTGTTATTTATAAATACAATATAATAACAACTTTGTTATTTTTAAATTTTTGCTAACGTAACATTATGAGTTTGCTATCTATGGAACTTTCTAAAATAAACCTGCCATATTTTTCAAATGAAAAAAAAAAAAATTAAAATTAAAAAAAAAAATTCATTTGAAAATTTACACTCAAATATATGTATGTATTTTTCTATTCCACCATTCCACCAGCTTATAAAGCACCACCGCTAGCACATCCGAAACAGGAAATCACTACTGCCCAACATCGTTACTTCCGCATACCATTCATGCGTGCCAATGCGCCGGAAAATAGTAAGATCGTAGTTTTTAAAGGAATTAATAATAAATAAATTATAATGGCATTATAGAAAAATTATAAAGAAAACATAATATAAATAAATTAATTTTTCTCCAGCCAAACGTGGCCTCTGGTATGCACACTTTGATGGACAATGGATAGCGAGACAAATGGAGTTGCATGCCGACAAACCGCCCATACTGCTCGTTGCAGGTAAGTAAATAGCAACAAAGATCCGATTATGCTGTAGCCTATATACATACCTTTCATGAACATAACAAACTTTTTGTAAAGCATTTTAGAAATGAGATTTCAGGGAGCTAATATCGTATAATCCGCCGATTTCGATGGCTTTCGGTAAAACGCGCTCTCGGTGACATGACCTCATGAATACCCATCGGTCGTTCGGAGGCGGCATACAATTAACTGTTAGTCGCTCCATTTGTTGGAATGAATATTGCCTTTGAGCTGAGCTATGATCTCCGGCTGGTCGATGTAAGCTTTGCTTTTCAAATATCCCCACAAAAAGAAGTCCGGCAGCGTCAAATCGGATGAGCGACCAGTCAGTGAATCGCGGCTAGTGTGTATTGTGGCTCCGTTTTTTTTTTTTTTTTTGGAACCAGAAGTGGGTCATGTCTTTTTCAATCATTTCTGAAAGTCACGTAGCATAGGTCCATAGCGCACGCCATTGATCGTAACGTTGCCAGCTTCGTTCTGGAAAAATTCGGTCCGATTATGGCCGATACGCTCCACCAAATGGTCACTTTTTATCATGGAGACGCTACTCGAGTATTTCAGAAGTATTTCAGTCAGCCCAAAAGCGGTAATTTTGGCTTATTAACCATCGCTCATGATGATTCTAAACCGAATCTCACCAACAGCAGGAACATGTTTGCGACATGAATCAAAATAAGCTGAATAAACGCATCGATCAAGCCACTGTATATTAAAATTATTTAAAAATATAAAGATTTTCCTGAATTGAATATAGTTGAACCGATTTGACTAAAATATCTTGTAATTATTGGTATTCAATGGATGAAGATTTTTTACAGAAAATTTTAATTTATTCCGATAGTGATGATAAGTTAGCAATTCATTCGATATTCGAAGGAGGTAAACGTTGTTGTTGCTGGCGTTGTCAATGAGCAGCCAAACTTTGTTCTTTTGCTTTATGAATTTCCTAAGCATGAACTTGTCTTCTTTTCAATCGTTATTGCTCATTGTAAGCTGCGTAGGCCTCGCGCACGTAGGTGATTGTCGCGCACGATATTCAATCATTCCGATTCGAGCAGATTCCCTTACAGTAAGCATTTTTCTTTTCCGTACGATGTGCTGTATAATTACATTGGTCCGTGGTACGATCTCTTCGTGGCATCGTTACAAATTTCAATCTGTAATTTATCACTTTGTATGAAACACACATAAAGTTTTCACAAAATAATTTTCAATAATTTACCATTTGAATAGCAGAAATAAAGAAAGCAAACACCGAATTTGAATGATTCAACTAATTTAGAAAAACAGCCAAAGAAGTAACACAAATAAGTTCCAATTGAAATGAGGTTAGGTACATTCACCAACAAACGAAGTGAGTTCGAATAAGCAAATTAGTAGGAGAAATCAAATTATATATATTTTTTCAAAAAAAAAAAAAAAAAATTGAAAATATTGAAAAAAATTGTATGGAACAATTTCACTTTTTGAAATTTTCCAATTTTCAAACTTTTCCGCAGGAAAAGTGTCAGGTTTTTTTTTATTTCTTAATCTACGCAAATCCACAACGAACAACCTCTGAAAATTTCATCAAGATTGGTCCAGCCTTGGTTCTCGTGCCTTAGCGTCACTAACAAACAAACATTAATTTGCATATATTATATTTAAATCTTAATATTATCATTCTGGAGATAATCCAAAGACATGGAATTGATGCGGAACGAAGTTCGCTGGGTCTCCTAGTTTCTGTATAAATTTTGGTGGGTCGCTCTATTCTCTTTCTGGTACTTACATATCAATTTTATATACCATTTTATGTTCATGAAAGGTATAAAAAAAAAATTTTATAATAATATTTGTGTTTTTTATTAAAAAAAAAATAATTATTTTCTCTATTTTAATACACTTCAGGCATCGATGATATGCAAATGTGCGAACTGAGTCTCGAGGAAACCGGTTTAACACGCAAACGTGGCGCTGAAATATTGGAGCATGAATTTAATCGTGAATGGGAACGTAATGGTGGTAAACCATATAAAAATCTGGGTGCTAATAATAATTAAATGAGATTGTTGTACGATGCGTATAGCAAAGAAATTAGTATAAAAAGGCAGTTTAAATAGAAAGACTAAAAAAAAAAATCAACTGTATGTAATGTAGTTGATATTGCAAGTAAATCAAAAGTATAGTAATCAAATAAATTATTAATAAAATTGTACGTGTATTTTTCCAAAACAAAACAAAAAAAAAATACAATATTCTTTTGATATTCAAACAAATTAAGAACCGTCAGGCAGTCAAGCAGGCAGTCAATCAGTGAATGTGCTTTCATCGATGTATCTAACAAGAGCAAGGGATATATATTATATACATATGTATAGCAGTAATTGTAGCATTAAATTTGCAAAAATGTTTGTTTGGTTAAAAAGGAAGAAAAATATATTAACTAATAAAAAAACAAAATGCTTTAACATTGTATAAGTTGCTTGAAAACATTATATAACGTTTGCAATTGTTGTCTATTTTGAAGTTAAAAAAAAAAATCTATTATATTTGATGCAGTTAAGGAAATATTATTAGAAGAAAACATTTGTTACAATTAAAAAAATTACTGAAAAATGTTAGAAACACACAAAATTAGCTAGCTTTCTTCACAGTTACGATATTGTTTTGTTATTGTAGATAAATTGCGTGATATTCAAAAGCAGTATTGAGTAATGTTGAAAATTCTGTTATCCATGCAAAAGGCTAAAAATGAAAATTTAGCCAGCAACTGCTTACACCACTTGCATACATACATATATGATTACCATACCATCTTCGTACATAAGTATTAGAGAAAAGTAATGGATTTTGCAAAGCAAAAAGATTTTTTTCCGCAAATCAATGAATATAAACGTTTCCTTAACCTAAACAGTATACAATTTACATACATATTTCAAAGAAATTAAATATCAATTAAATATCATACAATTTCTGTGTCTACTTTCTGAATACCACAAGTACCATACATACATACATATGTGTATCCATATAAATATTATACCATTTACAATGCAAGCAAAATTAAAATGATCTATTTGATGTGTCTTTTTTATGTCTACGTCATGCATACATATACATACGTACAAACTTTATTGATAAATGATTGCCTTTATGCATACATACATACGAGTACATACATTTTTTGATCATGCAAATATGTAAAATTCTTATGAACGAACTTATTAGTTTATTTACTGATAACAACAACAGTAACAATGAAAATTCACTATGTCTTGTTATTATTAGCGAAAGATAGTGAAAAAATTACAAATTAAGAATGTCTATTTATAATTTTATGTATACAAAAAAAAAAAAAGCAACAAATACTACGGATTACAATGAATAGTATGGAAAATAAATACTTTATACTTGAAAGAAATGTCTGTATTTATTTATTCTTAAGAGGAATGTCAAAAAAAGTGCTGAAAAACTTACATTTCAGCACGACAATGATCCGAAGCCCCCAATCGATTGATCTAAACCCAATTGTACATTTGTGAAAAGAGCTGGATCGGTGCGTTAAAAAGCGCGCTGTATCAACAAAAGAAGAGTACAAGCTGGCTCTGGTGGAGGAATGACAGAATATTAGTGCAGAAACCACACAAAAATTGGTCTCATCGATGCTACAAAATATTAATTTCATTTATATTTTACCATTTTATTATAATTTTTGTGTGTTTTTATGAAGTGTGCCAATAATAATAAAAATTAGTAATTATTTTGAATTTAAAATTAGTTTTAATTAAACATAAAAGACAATAAAATGAATTGAAGTGAAAATAGTTAAAAATTTGTCCCTCTGTCTAGCATTTTATTTTCGGAATTGAAAATCTTTTCATAAAAGGTCAAAAAAAGGTGTTAAAGTTGAACCAGAGAACGTAAATACAATTTTTTTTTTGTATTTACGTTCTCTGGTTGAACCTTCGCGTTGTATTTACGTTCTCTGCTCTCGTTGTATTTACGTTCTCTGTCTAAACCTTATTGTTGCATTTACGTTCTCTGCTCTTGCGTTAAATCCGCTTATTCTTCTTCTCATTCTGGTTGTTGACCTTACTACAGTAAATATATTAGACACAAACCATTTTTGCAATAGAGTTTAGAACAAATTGTTGTTGTATACTATGGTCTGCCATTAAAATTAGAACTTATGCCATGAGTTTGATGTAGTCAGGTTGGCCGAGCGGTCTAAGGCGCCAGATTTAAGCTCTGGTTCCCGAGAGGGAGCGTGGGTTCGAACCCCACACCTGACAAATGCGACATTTTTTTTTTAATTGTATTCTTTTTTATAAAATAAATTAAAATATTTATATAAAATTCACCTTTCTAAGAAATTCTTTACATTTGGTGTTAAAGTTTTGATCAGGGTTCTCCAGGTCTAGACGTGACTGATACCTCACATATTATTTTGACGAATTTAGTTAGTCTATTGGGTGGGTGTACGCTTCTTTAAAGATATTCATGCTATTTTTATTTTATACCAATTCTGTTCAATTTGTTGATGATGAGCATTCGATTTACGGTTTCGAAACACCTAAATAATGTATAAATTTCCCATTTCTTCCTTTCAGTGAAAGATAACTCAATTAAGGACAGTTTCACATCATTATTTTGATGGATACGCTTGGTGTTCTTTATGTAATATGTTATTGGTGCCTGTGTTATTGGTCAGATCTTATCACAGTCCCAAAATAGTTTCCATATTTGCAGATATTTTATTGGTCGTAGCTCTTCCGCTTTAGAAATTCTTCAGTGCATTGAACGTATATTGGATATATTTGGAAGTTTGTTTCCACATTCAGTTGAAAAATTGTTACCGGAAAAATAGAAAAAAAAACAGATGATTAAGGTCACAAAAACATTTAAAAAAAATTATAACGCCGCAAAAATAAAAAGCAAGATGTAATTAATTTTATATTTATGCTTAAAAAATAAATTCTTAAATTAATGTAATTATAATTAATAATTTTAACAATCAATTAATAGAGATCACTAAAAGAATGGTTTTCCAATAAGAGCTGTTATTTTGATATGCAAGGAAACTTTGCATAATTTCGTTACTTGTGTGGTATTTATGTAGTGCCGTCTTAAAGTAAACGTTGTCCAGATCAATGCCTTCCAATTCTGGACATCAAAAAACATTAATCATCTCTTTTTGAAAAAGTAAGGTCCGCACCAAACAGTTACACCTTGTGGATGAAGAGAATTTTCAACAATAAATTTTGATTTTTCCGAGATTCAAAAGTGACACCGGAATAGCAGACTATTCCAAAAAAAACCTCTTATTGAAAACCATTTATCAACTTTAATTTAATTTAAAGAAATAACCAAATTATGCGTGAATATTGAAATTACTTAGAACCCCCCTACCTCACGTATGCCTCACGGTTCGCTGTATCGCTTAACTTCGTGAAACTAAACATTTTCAGATCAATCTATTGTACATATGTACGTGTATGTATGTAAGAACCTCCCATATATGTATACATAAAATAACTCAGTGTAAAATTTGACTTCTAAAACTGCTTTTATTTAGAGTCTGATTTGAGCACAAATTTTCTGTAAAAGTTGATTAAACATTTTTTTTATTTTCATTAGTGAATTAATATCTTTTTTATAAAAATAGTAATATACAGTGAAACTTCCCCTAGCAGGCACCTCTAATGAGCGGTCACCTCTAATAAGCGGTCACCTCTAATAAGCGGGCACTTTTTCAAGTCCCTTAAATTTTCTTCCATATAAATTCACTGCTAATAAATGGGCACATCTATTAATTGGGCAAAAAATTTGGTCCCGTTGGTGGCCGCTTGCGGGAAGTTTCACGATAAATTTTTTGTTCGCATTTAATTAAAGTTTAAATTTCTCATTTCTTCTTCTGACTGTAGCACGTGTAATTTAGCGTAGACACAAACCTGTGGATTAATAATTTCCCTTTGGTTACAAATTAGTATAGTGGGACATTATTTCTTGTGGCTACTTTGCCAGATGGGTTAATATAGTCAGGTTGGCCGAGCGGTCTAAGGCGCCAGATTTAAGCTCTGGTTCCCGAGAGGGAGCGTGGGTTCGAACCCCACACCTGACATAGAAATTTATTTTTTCACATATTTTTTAATTTTTTTTAAACAAATATATTGTTATTACAAATTTTCTTTCATAAGTTTTCAATATTATTTAGAAAAAATTAAACAAATATATATATAATCAACACATCTATTTTATTCCAATATTGGCTTGTGAGCAATTACAGTAGTGAATCTGAGTATTGTTTTCTTTAATTTTTTTGGTTTTGTGGATCTTTATGCGCGCAGCTCTTCTCATTATTCTAAGTTCTCTGATCAAGCTCTCGTGGTTGCTTATCTATGTACTTTTCGCTAAGAAAATTACTAATAAAAAATTAAATTAAGGTCAAGCTCGGAATTCGACTTCAGCCATTGATTTGGCCAAATTAGGAACTGTGGCGAGTTGCCGTATCTGAAAATATCCGTTTTAAATTTTATGTTCTAATTATATTCAGAGTCTTTACTTTATATTAAAAAAATTTGAGATCACAACAAAAATCACGGTTAATGCTTCGGAACGTTGTCATGTTGAAAGGTCCGGACCATTGGCATTTCCTCGCTAGCATTTGAGAGCATGACATCCTGCATGGTTTGGGCAGCCCGAATGATCCAATGAATGGGTCCGATTCCATACCACAAAAAGCATGACCAAGCCATAATGCTGGATCCACCATGTTTTACCGTTTTAGTGGTAAATTTGGGATTAAGTGCGCTATTGGGTAAACGTCTTACAAACTGCCTTGAACCTTTTCCACCATAGCGAACAATTTTTGACTCGTCGGACTATAAAATGCTACGCCATTTGGTCAAAAGCCGAATTAAATGGTCTTTGGCAAAACGTAATGGTTTGATCACATGTTGTTTAGTCAGCAAAGCCACTTTTCAGGGGCTCCGAGCTGACAGATCGTTTTCCCGTAAGCGTCGGTGGAGAGTTTCAACGCTGGATTTCACATTTAGAGATTTTTCCTATTTCAATGGCAGCCGCAAACGGTATTGCTTTGAATATTTTACAGCAGACTTAACCAATTGAGTAGAAATTATACGTTTCCGCCCGCGTTTTTCGGCACCCGGTTTGTATTTTATAGCGTTTCGGACCATCGTGGGGGAGCAACCAATAATATTTTGCACTTCTCTGTAGGTTTTTCCTTCGCCAATCAGCTTTTTAATAAGAATTTGACTGATTAAAAACTCAGTTTTTCTTAAAACTTAGCCGATTACAATAACAACAATAATTCTAGCTTAAGGGTCACACCTAGTGTAATGGCCTAAAAAAGAGGTGATTTTTGGGAATTTTTATTAAAAAAAAAGACTATCCATTGTATCAAAATTTTAAGAATATATTTATACATGTTTTAAGAATATACAGTGAAATTTTTGATCTCCAAAGGCGCGAAAAAAAGGTCCTTCACTCCTGCAGTGATTCCGGCCTTTTCCGTAAATGAAATCTAAAAAAAAAATTCTCTACTAGATAATATTATCTGTACAATGACTTACGTTAAAAAAACCCAAATTTAAAATATGGCGGCGTTTTAAAAAAATAGTCGAATTTTACCCAAAATTTTGGTCGTTTTTGGCCTGCCAAAATTCGATTTTTTGATCAGATCAAAAATCGATAGGTCATTGTACGGAGAACTATATATAGAACATGTAAAAAAAATTCGATAGTGATCGGATCATTTGTTTTTGAGTAATCACTGCAGCAAATTCGGAAAATGCTGTTTCGAGAAAAACGCGTTTAAAGATAAAATGATCGTTTTCACTCGTAGCTAATGAGACTCTCTAGCTGCCGACCGGCTGCTCTTTAAATTGCTGTAACTCAAAAACTATTTGAGATATCGATTTGAAATTTTATTATGTTATTTTTAAATATATGAAAAAATATCGATTTTTTTGAAATTTCACACTAGGTGTGCCCCTTAACAAACAAACCAACCTAACGGTATTTACAGTGGAAGAGAAAAAAAAATATGAAATACAAATTTATGATGACTTATGCTTAATTAGCAAAATCACTTCTAAGATTTTGACCGCAACTGTACATTGTCGCCGAAAATTATCGAAATCGGAGCAATACAAAACATAGCTACATATAACCGTTTGGTTCAGATATAAAGTTTTTGATGATCGATAAAATTGAGAGAATTAGTATTAAAACTTAAAATGAAACACTTTGAATTTGATTTTGGCATGAAAGGTATAAAGACTTCCGCATGGTCGAAGACAGCTCTTACTTCTTGTTTTATTTTTATTTACAAAAAAATATTTTTTTTTTCAAAAAATTCGTTACCCATTAGTATCTGGCACACTTTATTATCAACATTTTATGGTCTTTCCTTTGACAAAATTTCATTTTTCTTTTATTTTGATTTTTAAAGAATTTTTTTCTAAGTATCTAAAACAAAATTACAGTTTTTTCCATCTGTCATATAAACAATAATTTGTGTTTAAAAATTGATCTCTCTCTCTCTCTCCAACGCTTAGCATATGCACATCTCACTCAACGCAAATCATTTGGCCCACAGCGGAATGCGTCATCAACACCAAACAACTCTGCGCATTGAGCTTCTCGCTACTTCGCTGTTGCTGCCGCTGCCGCTGCTTCAGCTGCTGTTGCTTCTGTTGTTCACTAACTTGCTTGCTGTGTTGCTTTGCCCGCTGTTGTGTGCGAATTTTATTAGACAGTCTTCCAGCAACATTTGCCAAGTCAAGATCAAGTTTTTTTTAGTGAGCGCCTGTCCGTTCGGTTAGCAAAGTGTTTCCATTTATTTTCCCGCCTCATAAGACGTTCTCCCAATTCGGTCAAGAACGTCGACGTGTTCGGAATCAATTTGTTTATCACGAAAATAATTTTGAAAAACTGTTGCTCTTTGAATTAATCATTTTACGAAAAGTTGATAACGCGTTCGTTATTGCCCTGTCAAATACTTGAGTACGACGATATCGTATTTTTTCGTGGTTATCATATTAGCAAGGCACTTCGATAAGTTCGTGACTGATAACAGAAGAAAAGTAATTGGCTCATTTAGTACGCGAGTGAAGAGTTTCATTGGTGAAACATATGTACATACATACACACATACATACGTGTATATAGATATATAGAGGAATTTTATTCTATACTAAGCTGAGGAATATTATTAAAATTTCCGAAGAGTGCAAAAAGTAAATTATCTCCGACAAAAATATTACAAACAACTACAATAACAACAACTGCAAAAATGTACGTGCGCCGGCTGTTGGAGTTGCCCCTTTTCGTTTTGGCATTTGCAGCCGTCCTAGACAATGGTAAGATGGACGAAGAATACTAAACCAACAATTCTTGCAAATACATACATATTTACATACCTACATATATGGATATATGTAGTAGATATCACATGTTGGCTGGTAAAGAATATATTTTTCGTGTTTTTTTTTTGTTTATTTTTTTTTTTATCAATCTTCGCAAGTCTGTTTCGCTGTTTATATTCGGTATTTTTATACCTTTCACGTATGTATGTATAATATATGACGTGTTATATTAAATTCTGCTCGAAGTATGATGAAAGTGCCAGAAGGAGAAGGAATGGTAGTATGTAGTATGCAGGTGTTGCTTTTGAATCTATCAATCATTTGTTGAAACCGCTCAGATCAGGCGACTATATCATATACATAGCTCTCATACAACCGTTTTTTTAGATATGAAGTTTTTGGCAGAAAATCTGTCAGACAAATTATCTAAGAACATGAGATTTGGTTCTTAACGCTAGTATATTCAAAAAAAATAAAGATATTGAAAATCATCGAAATCACAGATCTATATCATATAGTCACCATACAACCGATTCATTCAGATTTGTGATTTTGAGTCGAAAATTCGTCCAAAAAGCATCTAAGAGCGCGTGGAATTTGGTGTTCAACATTTGTATCTACAAATAAATATTGTCACCTACAATATTTTAAAACAGAAGTCACCCTACAACCGATTCGTTCAAAAATTAGGTTTTGAGCTAAAAATCAGTCAAAAAAGCATGCACGAACTTGAAGCTTGGTATTCTACGTACGTATCTACAAATAAATATTTTCACCGAAAATCTTTTAAATGAGACGTCTATATCATATAGTCACCCTACAACCGATTCGTTCAAAAATTAGGTTTTGAGCTAAAAATCAGTCAAAGAAGCACGCACGAGCTTGAAGCTTGGTATTCTACATACGTATCTACAAAGAAATATTGTCACCGCAAACCATCGATATCGGACGACTATGCCTTATAGCTCCCATACAACCGATTTGTTCAAAAATTAGGTTTTGAGCCAAAAATGAGTCAAAGAAGCACCCACGAACTTGAAGTTTGGTATTTTACATACGTATCTACAAAGAAATATTGTCACTGCAAACCATCGATATCGGACGACTATGTCTTATAGCTCCCATACAACCGATTTGTTCAAAAATTAGATTTTGAGCCAAAATTCAGTCAAAAAATCATCTAAGAGCATGAAATTTTGCATTCTATACAAGTATCTACAAATAAAAATTGTCACCGAAAATCATCGAAATCGGACGACTATATAATATAGTCCATATATAACCGATTCGTTCAAATATGGGATTTTGTGCAAAAAATCCGTCAAAAAAGCATCGAAGACCGTGCAATTTTTGTATTACACAATTTAATTCATACAAATAGTGACACTGAAAAACACCGAAATTCAAATCGTCAAAATACTTTAAATTTTATATGTTCATGAAAGGTATAATGGCTTTCGGTATGACCGAAGGCAACATTTCTTGCTTGCTGTATTTACATTTTATGTGAGTGTGTTTGTTTGCATTTATCTTTTGACGTCTTCGACAAAAATTTGAATTGCAAAATATTTTTCAAAATATTTCTGCAACTTTGTATCTCTTTGTTTTGCTATGAAATCTTGTTTGTTCTGTCAGCGCGTTGAGGATGTGGAAGTGGCCAATGATCAGGCTAGCGAGTGAGGTAAAAAGTTCATTATACCAATAAAAAGCAATAAAGCAATAAATATGTATGTATAACCATTTGCATATCTACATAAAAATGTACAAATAATTGTGCACATGTGTAAATATGTATGTATTTACATATGTATCTACTTGATGCTATTTTCATTTCTACTGGTTTGGTGCGTTACTGATTTTCAAAACCAATATGAAATGAATAATGATATATATGTACATACATGCATGTAGATACATAACACGTATGTGTGTTATCCGATATTTATGAAATAAGAATTGTTTTCTTGGCTTTCAACTCATTAATTTATCTGCATAAATTATATATATATGTATATTATACTTATTAGCATCCCAATTGGAAAATTAGTAATGCATGACTTCTTCCGGGCAAGAATAAACTAACAAACACATATGGACTCATGTGTTCATGCCAATGCAAGCTGCACTGCTACACTCTATTTTGGTTATCTAGTGTAAAGAACTGTTCTGTTTGCAAAATGAAGTAGTATTTCTGGCCGCTCGGTCTTTTCCGAATGAAGGCAGTCCTATCATCAGCCTGGAATCTGGTATCTATATCATTTTGTATGCATCACACAATTTGCATATAGTTTTCGCGTTTGGCTTGTTCCGAAAGTATATTCGCCTGATGAAGCTGGATAACTCCTTGCGCTTGCTTCACTTCTTTTAAGGGGCATACCTAGTGTAATGACCTAGCAAAGAGGTGATTTTTGGGAATTTTTATTTAAAAAAAAGCCTTTATCAATTATTTCAAAATTTTAAGAATATATTGTATTTATACATGTTTCAAGAACATACAGTGAAATTTTTGAAGAAAAAAATTTTATTTTTTATAAGTTATAGTCGATTTCCAACGGCGCGAAAAAAGGTCCTTCACTGCTGTAGTGATTCCGGCCTTCTCCGTAGATGAAATCTAAAAAAAAAATTCTCTACTGGATAATATTGTCTGTACAATGACCTACGATAAAAAAAATCAAAAATTGACAATATGACGGCGTTTTAAAAAAAAATAGGCGAATTATACCCAACATTCTGAACGTTTTTGCCCTGCCAAAATTCGATTATTTGATCAGATCAAAAATCGGTAGGACATTGTACGGAGAACTATATACAGAACATGTAAAAAAATTCGATAGTGATCGGATCATTTGTTTTTGAGTAATCACTGCAGCAAATTCGGAAAATGCTGTTTCGAGAAAAACGCGTTTAAAGATAATATACCTCAGGAACGTCCCGTAGCTAATGAGACTCTCTAGCTGCCGAGGGGCTGCTCTTTAAATTGCTATAACTCAAAATCTATTTGAGATATCGATTTGAAATTTTAGTATGTTATTTTTAAAGGTGTAATCTGTAATATGAAAAATAGATCGATTTTTGTGAAATTTCACACTAGGTGTGCCCCTAAGTGAAACTGGTAGGCTCGTAATTACGTCTTATTCTAAGGATTAACCCTTCCTACCCAGTTCGTTAGCTTTCTCATAGCCTTCAGTGCCTGTGTTACCCAGCAAAAATGTAAATTCTTCTATTTTTTACGACAATATTTGTATCACCTTTTTACATAGTGCGACCACCGCCCTCTTCGTGCTGTATGAAATTAAGGACTTTATGACATCTTAGTATTTTTTCCCACTTGGTGTTATCGTAGTATAACCACTTTCATTTCCAGCCACGATTCGGTGCAAAAATCTCTTCTTTTGATGTCCTTCAGGTAGCAGGAATTTATTCTATAATGTATTGATGATGTAACGCCAGCTTACTTTCGCACATTACAAATGCATTAACTTTTCCAAGAGGGATATACTTTCAATATATATAAATATATGCATACATATGTACGTGTATGTCATCGTCCTTGGTGTCAATTGCCGTTAATTGAATTTATGTTCTTATATTCTAATTAAATTAAGGATATATATATGTATGTATCTACGAGTATGTTTTTATGTATACATATATTTCCATTTCTAATTGCTAAAATATTATCTTTCATATACATATGTATGTATGTATGTATATTATGTTATTTAATTCAATTATTATCGTATTTAATTAAAATTAATTTTAAAGATTTAAGTAATAATTAATGATAAGGTGTGATATTCTGCTGTACTGTGCTGTGCTGTATATACATATGCCTTCCTACTCCTCCTCCTCTTCTTCTTCTTCTTCTTCTTCTTCTTCTTCTTCTCTAACGGCGTAGACAGCTCTTACATGATTATATTCGAATTAAAAAATGTCTTCCTTCCTTACTTCGTTCGTTGCTTGGCGTCAATTGGAAATACCAAGTATATGATCTTGTGTATAGGATAAGAGAGGCGCGGGCGCTCTTATCTACAAAATTTAGATCAAAGCTTCACATAGATAATAGCCCAAATTTCAACCAAAGTAACAAAGCAACCGTTTACCAATTTTCATGCTTTATTTGTTTTGGGCGGTGACACACCTTCTTTTTATAATTCGAAAAAACTTCTTATAAAACATCTGCCTGTTGACCTAAATTGGCTGCATAACTTTGAATGAATACGGCGAAACCGTTCTCAGGGAATACCGTAACTTCAAAACTCCCATACACCGATTTCTCAGATAACATGACTTGTTCAAAACTTCACCAAAAAAAAACATGTAAGGGTCTAAAATTTGGTATTTTACTCATCTGTATAATACATACAAATAGCAAAGTAGCAAATAGTTGGAAAGGAGCCATTGTTGTCGGTGGTTAATATTGAGAAGAGGCTCAACTTTTCTATTACCAATGTTTACAGGACTGCGGAATACTGGGATGACGTTTTTTCTTGCGACGAGACAAAAATAATGTTCTACTATCATGACAACAACAGAAAAGCATTATTCCAACAGTAAAATTTGGTAAGATTTCTGTAATGGTTTGGATTGCATTTCGTCTAAAGGTGTTGGTGAGCTCAGAATTTTCAATGACGAGATGACGAGGAGTTTTACTTGAATATTCTAAAAAACGGATTTTCAAAGAGTGCGATAAGATTTGGATTTGTTGACCATGAAAACCATATTAAATTAAGGTACAAACTGTACCAGGCCAACGATACCAAACATAAACCATTCCTGTGCAGGGAGTAGCCACGTCGTATAAATGCAGTAAAGTGAGTGACACTGCTGCCCAGAATCCTGACTTAAAGCCCATAGAAAATTTATGGGCTTTTTTAAACAAGCGAATGGGCAAACGCGGCCCAACTAATACGAACGCTCTTATTAAGGTCATTCAGGAAGAGTTGAACAAAATACCTGAAAATTATGGCTTAAACAGCCTTATGCAGTACATG